TGTTGAGAATCTTATGGACCTAAAAATTCTTCTTAAAGATTTATTAAAGGCTTATTAATTAAGTCTAAAGACTTATTCAAGTCTGCAAGGACCAGGATCAAACAGGAGAGAAACCTGGATGCAAACCCAGCATGGGCCAGGCCATGAGATGTATTTTCAAAGAGCCACCGGTTAGGACTCCTTTGCAAAGTATGTAATGTGCAGTGAGTGCTCTCAGTGCTTGTAGTATTTTTTCTTATAAAAGTCTATAAAGAAAGTCTTATAAAAGTGCATGAGCAGAAACATCTAACGTAGGAAAGTGTTTGGCAGGTAGGGATAGACTACATCTACATTAGCAACCAAACCAGGCCGGGACCCACAAGCTGCCCCAGGAACAGATGTCATGGCATCACTCTAATTACAGAGCTAAGCCCACTTCCCTCCAGAGCTGGAGAGCTTCATCCATCCCATCTGCAAGGAACAGCCCCTGGTCAGGGGCATTGCCTGGGGGGTCACTGTGTGCCGCACATCAGGTTGTGCCAAGGAGTGTGCTACCTGATTAGTAGAAACTTGCAGTGCTTGTGTCTCCTCTGACTTGACTTTCTCTAGTTCATTGGTATAGATGTATTTATTAGCTTGCTAAAATTTACTGATCAGCCAGGATTCGCGTTCTACAAAGCCTCTTATAACTCTTGTTCTTCTTCTGTCTAAGGAGATTTTTCTCTGTTTTTCCTCTATCTCATTATTTCAGGGTAGGACTCCCTCAATTTCTCCTGTTAAAAGTGTTCTGTCTTGCCTGGAATAATGAGATATTAATTGAGTGGAAGAAAAGAGGAGAGCCCAGGTTTGGGCTTATGTGATCTGATGTTAAAAACAATTAGCTGGGAGTGGAAAGGCTGAATCCTAGCCTTGTTCCAAGCACTGTGGGAATGTGGTCAGTCCATACATGCACCAGTTTAATTAAACCGGTATATATTGCATTTCCATTTGTATCAGTATGATGTTCTATGTAGACACCATGCCTGAAATTTTCATTATAGAGGACAGCTGAGGCCGTCAGTCTGCACAACATGCGTTTGTTTTCTTTGGCTAGGTGAGAGAAAAATAATATGGTCCAAGGTACATATTGCTGTTTAGTGTGTATATATTCATCCTAAATTCAAAGAGTTAAAGTAGCTCCTCTATCTTATAACTATTTTCTTTTGTCATGTCACATCTCTGTGTGAATTAATCTATATTCCATGACAATCCAATTAACAAAAACCTGTCAATTTTCTGCCAGTATGCAGAGGTACTAATTAAATTAATTGATTCATGCAGTTTGAGTTCTTTCCTGTTCTTACTATGAGAAACATGAAAAATCTTTCTTTGACAAGATTGCTGAAAAACAGATTCAACAAATCAGCAAATCAAGAATATAAATGTATTCGTAGACAAGATCAAGTCAGGCCTGATGCAAATCATGTCACACTTCTCTGGTTCTTTCAAATCAATTGTTTTTTTCCAATGTTTTATAATCAGTGAAAACTTCTGTGTCTGCAAAGATGCTGAGAAGGAAGGAAGTGCCACTATTCAGGCCCAGTAATTTTTTTTCAAAGCTGACTGCCTTTGTACCAAGGAAATCAGTAGGTGGCATTCCCTCTAAACATACAGTATCTTCATCATAGTAAAGTATTTTTCTGTGATCATGTATACATAATTAGCAATTGTATATAAATTAACAGAATATATTTCTGAGTTGTCTTTTAGAGATACTGCTGCATATTGTTTGCAGGCTTGCAGAAATACATTTACAGCAGTTTCTAATTAGTATTTTAAAGATTACCCACACTATAAAACCTTACAGCTTAGAACTGAGTCTGTGAAAGTTTTTGGGCACCTACTTTACTGTAAAGTACATATACCTAAAATACAAGTCTTCAAGATCCTCAATCAGTTATCAATTCTTTTAAAAAATAAATATTCTGTGGCTATATGAAAATATTTGCTTCCAGCATGCCAGACCTACTAAAATATTGACAGCACTTAAAAAAAAAAAACAAAAACAAAAAAAACACCACTAACCTTGTCAGAGCTTGCTGAGTAAGCATTCTTGTTACTATCTCATCTACTGGGTCTAATCCAGCAGATATTTTACTCGCATGCTCTTCAGAATGAACTCTGACAATAAGCAGCATCAGGAGAAGAAAAGTGGTCGTGCAACTGCCAGTAAGTCCTGCAGTCAGCATACTGACCCTGGAAGCTGGATGCTTGATTTTGTTCCCTCTGAAGGAAATAAAGGCTCCAAGCAGAGTACCTTCTTTTTCTATACAGGGTAAACAGTCTTCAGCAGAAAAGACCAAGAATCGCTTCTAAATCCCTTCCAGCAAAAATGTGGTACCCTCAGTGTGCTTGAACCACTCAAGCTGTATCACAGTAGACAGCAGAGGTTTTCATTTCTGTTATCATGGTGTTGGACGAATGGGATGAGGATGAGGATTCGGCCCCTGCATCACCAGTGAAGTTGATAACAGCCAGTTTACTTAGGCCTTTGATTTGTTTGAATAAGCAAGGATCCACCTACACCACTTAAATGGGCAGTGTAATTACTGCTGCTGGGCAGAAAGGAACAATAGAACACCTAAACAAAGATGTTCTAGAAAAGCATTGATAGGGATCCATCCTTGCCTTGGTTACCCAGAACGTTTCTTCTGCTGTAAAAAAAAAAAAAAATAAAAAGGAGTGTTTAACATCTTTTCACTGAATGGAGATATTTGCTGAGCTCACTTTTTCCACTACACTTCTCAGAAGCAGACATGTGCTTTGGAGGAGCTTTAGAGAAGAGCCAAATTGAGATCAGTAGGGCTGTGCCTGGGTGCACATGTCCAACAGAGTACAATGTACTGCAGAGTTCAGCCCTAACCAGAGTCGTAACTGCTTTAAACATTCTCTATAATTTTAATTCTGAACATAGATTTAGGTGATGACTCTTCTCAAATGTCATGTGCCATTACATGGCACATACAGGACAACCAGGTAATCAGGCCCATTCAGCACAGGTTTATGAACTGCAGGTCCTAACTGACTGACTGACCTGATCTCCTTGTATGACAAGGTGACCCGCTTAGTGGATGAGGGAAGGGCTGTGGATGTTGTCTACCTAAACTTTAGTAAAGCCTTTGACACCATTTCCCACAGCATTCTCCTGGAGAAACTGGCTGCTCATGGCTTGGATGTGCACACTCTTTGCTGAGTAAAAGACTGTCTGGATGGCTGTGCCCAGAGAGTTGTGGTGAATGGAGTTAAATCAAGTTGACAGCCGGTCACACATGGTGTTACCCAGGGATCTGTATTGGGACCAGTTCTCTTTAACATCTTTATCAATGACCTGGATGAGGGGATTGAGTGCACCCTCAGTAAGTTTGCAGATGACACCAAGTTGGGTGGGAGTGTTGATCTGCCTGAGAGTAGGAAGGCTCTACAGAGGGATCTGGACAGGCTGGATTGATGGGCCAAGGTCAACTGTATGAGGTTCAACAAGGCCAAGTGCGAGATCCTGCACCTGAGTCACATCAAACCCCTGCAACGGTACAGGCTTGGGGATGAGTGGCTGGAAAGCTGCCCAGTGGAAATAGACCCGGGACTGTTGGCCAACAGCCGGCTGAATATGCGCCGGCAGTGTGCCCAGGTGGCCAAGGTGGCCAATGGCATCCTGGCCTGCATCAGGAACAGTGTGGCCCACAGGACTAGGGCAGGGATTGTCCCCCTGTACTGGGCACTGGTGAATCCTGTGTTCAGTTTTGGGTCCCTTGCTACAAGAAAGACACTGAGGTGCTGGAGCGTGTCCAGAGAAGAGCACCGGGATTGGGGAAGGGTCTGGAGCACAAGTCCTGTGAGGAGCGGCTGAGGGAGCTGGGGGTGTTCAGCCTGGAGAAGAGGAGGCGCAGGGGAGACCTTATTGCACTCAACAACTCCCTGAAAGGAGGTTGCAGAGAGGTGGGGGTTGGTCTCTTCTCCCAGGTGACAAATGATAGGACAAGAGGAAATGGCCTCAGGTTGCACCAGGGGAGGTTTAGATTGGATGTTAGAAAAATGTCTTCACTGAAAGGGTTGTCAGGCATTGGAATGGGCTGCACAGGGAAGTGGTGGATTTAACATCCCTTGGCTATTTAAGAAACATGTAGATGTAGCGCTTAGGGACATGGTTTAGTGGTGGATTTGATAGTGTTACGTTAATGGTTGGACTCTATGGTCTTAAAGGTCTTTTCCAACTTGAACAGTTCTATGATTCTATGAAACAGTCATTCAAACTTATGTGATGTGAATTCTTAATTGATCAGGGTTTTGGAAAGAGGAATATTAAGGGTTTGTTTTATATCTGCTTACCAAGCCAACACTGCAGAACAGAATGTTTTACTATATTTAGGATCTGGAAATACTTAAAGACTCTCTTGCACCCAATTATTTTAATTATTGGAGTTCCCAATTCAATTGAAAATGCTCGCAGCTTTTTGAAACTTTTCTAAGAACATGATCTGTAACATTTGTGGGGTATGTGGAGCTAAACTGGCATTTGTTATGAAGAGCTGAGGGTCGTGCCCTGACATGGGATGTTTGTCACTTTAAAGCATTTGAGCCTCCCTAATCAAAAGGAATGATTCTGCAAAGACTGATAATTAGTTTCTAAGTTTAAAACAACAAAAAAAGGTAGACTGATCAAAGAATCTTAGCAGATTCAACATCAAGAACATGATTTCTATCTTCATTAATTCGTGAGGGATTTCCTAAATTCCCTGGAAACCTAACTTGAAAGCATGACTCCAGGCACAGTTTTGAACAACAAATTAGATCCTGTAAATAAACTTATCCAATTTCAGTACTTAGAGGGCCACTATCCTTAGAATATATGGGTGCTTCATGATCCTTAATGTATTTGAATGAGTCAGTAAATTACTAAGACCACAATCCAAACTATTAGCAATTTATATAGAAAATTGAAGAAAGTTGATGTAATTATCCCATTATTCTACTGTGCTTTGCAGGTCCTAAAATGGTAGAATTCCATGGTCAACAATTTCAGATCAACTCAAAGGACGGCAAGCCGCTTTTCACAGTGGATGAAAATGAGGTTGTAATTGGCACAGATAAACTTCGAGTCACAGGTTTGTATCAGTTTAAGAAATGCCCAAATAATAGCAACAAGAAAAGCACAATAAAAACGTCATTTTCAAATACATCTGTGTGAACACAAGTTTTTGGTTTACCTCACTGGAAAATCAAAATCTGAAGATATTCTGACCTTTTACAATAAATAATCATTAGAAGCATTAACAGCAAAATAATATCTATATATAAATATGTATATACCTCTGTATGTGTGTATTTTATTTTAAAGTCATTACATATTGAAACTGCCTGGGTGCATTTTTTCTGAATTATTTAATGTTTCCAGTGCACACTGTTAACTGAGGCTGAAAAAACCCAGATAGTCCAGTTTGAATTGTATTGAGTTTTGTTTGCAAAAACATTTTAGGCATTCTCTGATTTTTTTATATGGTTTTATCTGTGAAAGTGAAAGCCACTGTATTTCTGCTCTGTGTGGACCGTGTATGTCACAGGATGGTATTTGTAGTATATTTAAAATGTCATCTGTCAGAATACAAGTTTGCCTTAGGCTATTTCTGCAAATCACCAAAATACTCATTTACAAAGTAAGATGTCTAAGTTATCACAGGAAAAGCTATTTCCTTTCATATGACCTGATGAAGTCAACCTTCATTTTCCAGGTGTAAGGTCGCATTAAAACAGATACATCACAGTGTGATTACTCTTTAAATGGAAGAGCTGATCAAAGGAAATACGGAAATTATCCTGTAACTTATTTTCAGTTACATTTTTAATATTTTTAACCTGATTGAAAGTATCGTTTAACTTTTTGCTAATTATTGGTCCACTGAAATCTTGAGGTCTTAATTTGAATGGATATAGTCATATTATTTCACTGTACAAAACTGCAAATGTGGTAGTAACTATACAATTAGTGTTTCAAAGCCAAAGTTAAGTTATAATAAATGTGCTAATAAATTTTATTTACGCCTGAGGGTCTTATCTTAAGTATTTTACTTTTTTTTTAACCTAATTGAAATTACAACTTTGTTTATCCAAGAAGCCATATCAAATAATTATTGTTTGCCCAAGGGATGCTAAACTTTAATAGAAAAGCATGTTTAACAAAGATATGAAAAACTACATAATTGTTAACTGATTTGGAAAAGGTCTACTCTGCTCAAAGTAAGTAAAAATCATTCATACATGAGTTGAAATTGTTATGCTAAAACATGTATTTTGGCTCGTCCAATATTGATCTTTACACTGCAAGGATAATTGTTTACTTTAGCAGATATTGTAGAAAGACACATTGCATGTTTCTTTTTCACACTGTAGTACAAAAGCAAATCTATTAAAGTCATTGAGGTTATTTCAGGGTAAAATTAATATAAGTGAGGGGAGATTCATGTCTACTTTGCTTCAAATTAACTTATTAAAATTGTGATTTAAATGATACTATTAGCATGAAGAATAAATTAGTAATACTTTGCATACTGAGATAATTTTTTAAAACATTTTGATAGAGAACAAGATCAATGTGAAATAAATTTTGAAAAGTTGATAACCATAAGAAACAGACTACCTCAGGCTTAAAATGCACAAAGAACATTTTGCAGTTTTTTACATTCAGTATAGTGAACTCTTTGATTTTACTTCTCCTTATTTATGTGAATTACGAAAAGCTCAGTAACCATTTGTAAGAAAACCTGACAGTTTTCAACTAAAATATAATACAGCAGAGTGTAAATGTCTGTGATTTATGATATTTCCAGAGAAATTAAAAAGACTAAGCTAATCCAACACCAACATCTCAAGAATCATCTTTTTCAACAATTTGGTATGTTTGACCTCATGCTGTTGAAGTTCAGACGTTTTCTGGCCCACATGGTATAATAAAATAGTGGCAGACTCTGTTCTCCTAGGAAGACCAAATGCCTGGGGAAAGCCATGATCAGCAAAGGGTCTCAGGTACCCCCACAGGGTCACAGAGGGGTCTAGATGACCATGTTCAGTCAGCTGATTTGATCCCCCAGTCAACACAGCCAATGCAGCCGAAAGCATGATTCCTCTCACCTTGAAGGAAACACCTAGTCCTGGCATGCACAGAGCTCTTCTGCTGACGGTGTATTGGCTGGCAAAGAGCCAATTGCTTTATAACTGACATAATGTCATGGCAGAAGGAGTGAAGTCATAGCACTGGCTGGAAACAAAGTTATTCTGCACAAATGTCTGGAGTCCATGGCTGTAGGAATCCTGTTTTTCCACTCCCTTGCCTGCTCTGCAAACCTGCCAACTATAAGGCCGTCCATATGATGGAGAAAATATAAGTAAATAAATTTACTTATAGTAACCAAGTATATAAAATATATATAAACCAAGTAAATAAAATTACATACAACAGAAAAACAAATAACATTCAACATTTTTAAAATGGTCTCAACTACTGCACAAAAAACTTTTTATCAAGTATGAACAATAATGTCTATATTGTGACTGTTGTGGAGGGTACCGTGTTGGTGATGAGTACATAAATTAATAGAAGGCAGCTGCTTACCCTCCACTCTTACTGAAGAAAAGCTGGGAAAGCAGAGGTGATCAGTATCTTTATGGAGAAGCTAACCCTTTCTCCAGTTTACTAATTGTCCTGCTTGTTTGTCTTTCATAATCTCTTAGAAGTATTTAAGAAGAAGCTCAGTATTGCTTTCTTAGAAGCTCAGTGCTGTTGGTGATTTTCTAGTGCTCTGTTCTGTGGAAAGTTTTTTCCGTTTGAGCAGCTAACCTTGAAGTGCAATGTGAAGATGTGTGTTTAATTTAAACCCTTCTGCTCAGAAGGTAAGTTAAGTAGGAGACAATCTGAGGGTATGAATAAACATTCTGCTAGACTTTGAAGAGGCAGATAGTCCTTACTTGATAGAGTGGGGGTGGGTGTTAATGAAACTTGCTGACCTCGACCCTCTTGCTAAGAAAATTAATATCTTGATCTTGTGTATTTTAGGAATAAATTATTATATATTCATAAACAGTAGTCTATAAAATAGTAAATATAGTAATATTAATATAATTAATGTTACTTTTTTACAGTTCAAAAGATAAAGTTGGTAATGAAGACAAGAAATCAATTTTGGGCTATTTTAAAAAGAAAACTGTCCTAAGGTTTTTTGTTTTGGTTTGGTTTTTTTAGTTTCATACTGTTCAAACTTCATGCTGTAGGATGTAGAGTTTTTCTCACAGGAAGATAATGCTCACCTCTTGCTTAGAGGTGACAGCTCTAGAATATGTAAATAAGCCTTTTCATTCCCTCTTACACTACCACACCTCTCTCTGGAGCATTAGCACTGGTGTTCCCTGTTGGCTTTCTTCCATTAGCCCCTGTTTCTGTGGAAGTGATACTATCTCTGTTAGCACCCACCTGTCTTTCAGAGCAGGGTGTTCGTTTTAGGAAGTGGGAGACTGAGGCTGAATTCCCTCCTTGGCCTAGGAGACTTCAGTCCTGCCGTCCCACCTCCCAGGAGAGTGCTCTGTAATGCTGTACAAAATGTTAGGTGCCCAGCGTGAGGGGACAGCTGGGAACAAGCACTCCTGATGTCTGCCAGCAAAGTGCAGCTCTGCCTCTGGCTACATGTTCTCTCATTTCTTCCTCTTTCATGGTTCACCTTCAAAAAGCAAAGCAGAGTTGTGAGATTCCCAGAGTTGTTCACTGCTGAGCATGGGCTTCAGTCTCCTCCTCACTGAATGCTCCAGTGACCGTGCTGTTTTATAAAGACATTTGGAAAGATTATGTTTAAGTAAAATGCTGTAATTGCCAGGTTTTAGTGATGACTCCAATGCTCTCGCTTCGCACAGGCTGAGAACTAGCAATACAATTGGGCTCCTCTGGGCAGTTTGGTCTCTCTGTTCTCTCTCTGCCTTGTTTCTGAGCCACAGTGGTGCTCAGACCAAGAGACCTGCCATCCTGGATCAAGAGACAGGAGCAGATCCCTAAAACAAGGATCTGCTTAATTTCAAACAAGGCTTCAGCAGCCATGATTGCACTTGGGCCTCACAAATCCCTGTATAGCTGTCCGCTCCAATCAATTTTACCAGCCTCCTCTTGCTGACATCTTTCTGTTTGTATCTGGTCATCTTTAACACAAAAAGTCCAAACCTTGGTAAGAATGTAAAAGTTGGACTAGATGAGGTATCTGATTTTTCAGTTCACATCCCTTTCATAGACAGACAAGTAGGTCATCTAATTTATTTTATAATCTTATCAAACTACATCTCAAATGCAAACGCACACTATTTGTTTTTATATCACCAAATATGAACTTACATCTAAAAGGTGCTGTAGGAGGAATACGAAAGGGTGTATATAAACAGAGTGAAATGAATAAAGCCTGTGAGACAGAAGAGTTCCCTCCACTGCCATGAGCTCCTCCTTCCTTGTGCCTTGTGGCTCTGCACATCCCACAGCAAGACATCGCGAGGGCACGTTCAGCATGTGGCATCCCACGCCTGCTGCGAGGTGCCCCCAGCAGCCTCTCAGCCCACTCGTGAATGGGCTGCAGATCTAGTGTTGAGGGTGGCTTTAAAAGTGACCTCAGGACTTAGTAGGGCGTTCTGAATTTTAATTGCAAAGAGAAGTGGATTTTAGAGTAATAAAGCTTAGGAATGATGTCAAAGCAAAGCATTCAGGATCAGAAAATATTACTAGAGAAGTTAGTTTGAGCTTAAGTAATTGAGAGGGAGCTCATGTATAGAGAGGTAAGCCTAAACCTGGATGACCTGATAAAGTCATATTTGCAAAATAATTGAGATATCCATGTATTAGTGACTTGTCCTTTACATTCCTATTACCACTTTCCCAGTGTGTGTGTCATCTGAAATCATCCATAATTACTTTTTTTTATTCCAAGTCCATGATAAAATGTTACATCACATTTGGCCCCACTCGTAACAGAGCCCCTCACTCATCATTCTCTGTTTGCAATTATGTTGTAAGACTTATCAGTCAGTTTTAATCCATATAATGCATTCTAGGCTGATTTGTGTTGCTCTAATCTCATCAAAATGTGATGTGGCCTCAAAGTAAATGCCTATAAAAGTTTATTACACCCATACTATTACCTTTATCAGCCAAGCTTGTCATCTCATTTACAATTCAAAGATATAAATGTATTTAATAATGTCATACGCAGTGCTACACTGCATACAAAAATGTGCAAAAAGTACAGAAGATGGTTTTTAATTAATCTGCTAGAGGACCTTAGTATTTTATGCTTGCCTTTCATACTCTGATACCTCAGTTTCTTGACTTTCACCTGCGTGTCTGTGAGAGAGTGCAGCTGAATTTCTCATGGTTTTCCCTGAAGCCACTGGTACAAACACAACCTTTAATTCCACTTTTAATCTGTTTTGGAACTACAGATCGATAATGATGAGTGATTGTATGGATTTCTAAAGGTGACAGATGAATTATATGAAAATCAGGCAGAGCACAGAGTAGAGCTTTTCAAAGTCTGTGCATGCTAGTGATATGTAATGTGGAGACAAAACTCAACAGCAAAGTTTGAGACACACATCGTTTCCTCTTGACGTCATTATTTATTATTTTGTTAGTGGTAGCAGATAATAGGTTGCGTTCATGTAGTTAATTTACTAGACCCCACTTATCTTTATTACTCTTACTGTTACTCTGAAATCTAGATACACCATTTCATGATTCTATGAATAGCCATTAACATTACTTCTGCAAAATTAATGGAAATTATGATTTTCTTCCCTAAT